GCAGTGCCACTGTTCAATGCGAACCTCTGTGTGACAACATATTTGCTGAACAGATGCTACTCAGCTGCTGTATCATAACTGGTTTGGTGAAGAAGCCATGAGAGTAATGAATGAGTAGCCCCAGGCAAGTCCTATAATCTCCCTGAGTTGCCATTTCTCAGCTAAAAATAAGGATATAATTTCTGTCTCAGACTTTCTTTAGGAAGGATTACATGGGGTGGAGAATGTTAAGGCTCTAGTCAGATTCAACATACCTGGGCATAGATGGCCAACTGGAAGGTAGGGCCTTGGGGGCTGATTTGCATAAAGGGCCCAGGGGCACGGTGAAAGTCAGGGTTGAGGAAGAATGTGGGAAGACCCCTGTAAGGTCATATGAGACACTCTGGGAAATGCAGAACTTTGCATGGCCTGCAGTCTGCATCATGCCCATGGGAACGGCTTTGACAACATGGCGTGTTATTAGTGCTGGGGCCCCGTTTTCATCAGAAATTGGTGGGGCCTAGGGAAACTTGGTTATATATAAGTGTCTCACACGTGGCGGATCCTTAGTACATGCCAGCCCCTTGCCTCCTACCCCCTGCCCACCCCCCGATTCCCTGCATTCCAGCTGAGCTTATCTTTCCTTTGTCCTCTGTGGATTCTGGCAACAACCTGCCAGGGCCATGTCTTCCAGACTCACCCCCTCCTTACCTTCAAAGACCGACCTAAATGCCATGAGTGGTCCTGAACCCCTTTGCTTCCCAAGGCCCTCTCAGTTTCCTGCCTCCACAGTACCCGGAGGCATGCCTCAGCCAGCTCTGTTTATCCTTTAGCAGCCTCGGTGCCAGGCGAATTGGTGAAATATGTCACCTTTGAGAAGTGAGAAAATTCCTGTAGAAGGCTGTTTGCCAGAAAAACAGCAAAAGGTGTTGTTTTCACTTAGCAGGTGTTTAAATTTTTATGAGACACAAACTGTGTGGAAATCACAGACTTTCAGGTGTGTGTTTGATATGTGGAGTCACCAGGTTTTCCCGCCCGAGTGGCTGAAGGTGTGGGGTGTGAGCATGTGTGTGTGCTTGGATCCTGATGGAAGAAGTAAGATAAGCTCATGGGTCCAGCACGGCCCTGCTGGGAGCTGGGCATGGGATAAAGCAGTTCAGCTCCCAGAAGAAAACTCATCTTTGAAATGGGTATTTGTTCTCTTGCAGGCCCTAATGGCTCTCTTTTTCAGATGTGTGTACTTCCCACTTGAGATTGACTCCAGACTGCCTGGGGTGAGAGCATGCTGAGAAAATACAGTTCCCTTAGGCCAGCAGAGTTGTATCGGGATCTCTTCTCTCTTCTTCAAAACCGACACAACAGCCATATACTAGAACGGCTAAATCTGTATCAAGCAGGGCCATAAGCTTGCCGTGACAATTCACTCTCCCTCCCTCCTTCCTTCTCCCTCCTTCCTTCCTTCTCCCTCCTGTCCATCCATCCGTAAATATTTATTGAGCATCTACCACGTGCCAGGCACTATGCTGGGTGGAAGATACAGGGTAAGCAAACACCATCTTGGGTCTTAGGTCTGGTGGAGCAGGCAGAGCCCCCAAGCGTTACATCCAAGACTGCACTTCAATCCTGTGACCTAGTCACCTATTGGGACGAGTGACTCTCAACCTCGGCTGCATAGCAGAGTCACCAGGGGAGATTTTCGAGCTACTGATACCAGGCCTCATCTGAGACCAATTCAATACGAACTTCTGTGGGAGGAGTTTAGGCTGTGTGTTCTAATACAAAGGCTGGGATGAGAGCCCTGCTCTGGACCACCTCTCGGGCCCTTTCAGACGTTCTGTTCACATGTCCTCTCACCTGTAATCCACCTTGGTTAGTGCCCAGTAATGGCAGAAGATGTTTCTGGACAAGAAATAGAAGGCAACCCTTCCTGAACGCAGACCTCTCAGACTTAAGACACAACCCCACAGTTCCATGGAAGGAATCCTTTTTAATTCTCAGGATAAATAAGTACTTTTACCTTTTGATATCTAGTACACAACTGTAATGTAAAATAATCCCTAAAAATAACCTGCAGGAGGTCTATTGTCTGCTTCGTACTGTGCTACACAGGGAGGGGGATATGTGTCCATCTGTAGACACGATCCTCCACAATCTGCAGTTAGGGATCTCAATGCTTGGTATAGCCTAGGTAAGAAAGAAATTGAGTGAAGCAGGCTGACTGGAGGACCACAAGTGGTGGTGGGAGCTGTGGCCACAGGAGTGTGGATGCCAGGTCCAAAGCAAACGAAAACCAAACCATAAACCATCAAGTCGATTCTGACTCATGGCGACTCCTTGTGTTTCAGAGTAGATCTGTACTCCATAGGGGTTTCAATGGCTGTGATTTTTCAGAAATAGATCACCAGGCTTTTCTTCCGAGGTGCCTCTGGGTAGAATCGATCCGTCAACCTTTAGGTTAGCAACTGAGCATGTTAACCATTTGTATCAAAGCATAGGGCTATCCTTTGGCTCCAACTGATTGTGGCTAGGTAGAAATTGAAGACCTATGTTGCCAGATCTTCAGAAATATTGCAGATTTTTATGTGAAATTGTTTGAATTTAAATGTTTAAAGGCAATCAGTTTTTAAATTTAAAAAAAAAAATTGGACAACGCAGACAAATGTCAACTGACCAGCTTCCGCTTCCAGATCTGGAAGGACACCAAGCACATTGCCCAGCCAGGGCTCCATGTACAGACGGTCTGTGATGGATCATCCCCGTAGTCCTAAACCGGCCTCTGTTTAATTAGTGCTGCTAGAGGCAGGAAAGCTGTATGGCTGGCCTCCCTCCGCCACCTGCTGTGAAATTCAAGTATGAAGTTCATAAAGAACCATAACATGAAGATCTCTCTCACAGATTCAGTATTTGCTTATAGTGACTGCTGATGAATTTTCTACCAGACAGTTAAATGTAAGCTATAACCGTAGAAGTGCCTAGAATCCAACTGATGGATTTGCTAATTAGTCTTCCTCACCTAAGCAAGTGGTCTTGGGTGTTGCCAGGTAACGGCAGCCACAACCTAGCCAAGATATTCATTCATTTGTTTAAAAATTGCTACTGAACTGCTTCTTGAGGTGGACGCCATGACGCAAAAGGGGCATACAGTCCCCGCCCTCAAGGAGTCCACGTTCTGCTAGAGGAGGGAATAAAGGGTCAGTTAAAATGCCTCCCTCACCTCCATTACGTGCTGAGAGGGAAGCAAGCCAACTCTGATGGTACAGGAAGGCTCCAACTACCTAACTGCTTTTCAGATTGCTTTCATTGTGAAGCTCTCCTAGAACCGGAAGAAAATCAATGAATGACGACGCCATAAAACAATTCTGAAACTTCTGCAGCAAGTGAACAGCGGGCAATGGATGCCTTGAAGGAAGAGGGCGGGGAATGGAGGCTGGAGGCGGAGCTTACAGACCTGAGCCCTCCTGTGGCTGGTTTGTAAACCCCACAAACCAACTTGGGGGCCTTTAGGCATAGGTGAGGAAGGACCAGTTGAGAAATAAAGGCAACTTGAAAGATGAGAATTTCTGGCCCTGCCCCAGGGAGAAGTGGGGCTCTTCAGGCTAAAGATGGTCTCCTCCTCCAGGGTCCGATGCTCCGGGTCCCATCCATTCTTCCCCAGACGCTGTCTCCTCCAGCCAGGGTGGCCTCATCCTTCTCCTGGCTTATTTCCACACTTGAACCTTTCCTCATAGAGTCCCAATTCCCTGCATGTCCTCTGCACATTCTCCAAAGCCATCTACCTCTGAGGCCAGCTTTAGTCTCACAGAGCCTTTTCTCCCAGGAAGCCCTTCCTATCCACTGCAGCCCTTTCTGGAAACTCAAAAGCTAACAGGTGAACTGGGTCTGGAAAGAATGGGAGTGAGTCAGACAATGGGGGGTGCTAGTTGGCATGGGGTGGGAGTGGAGTGTTAGGGAGAGGAGACAGATCATTTTCTACAGGGTACTTCTTTCAGCATTTCCTTCAGGAACAAACATAGTATGTACAAGAAAATCTAGATTTGTTAGGCCATTTTAAAGGATTCATCCTTTCCCTAATACATGTTCATTTTCTATATTTTAAATATTGTTATAAACGGAGCCACCATCCACCAAGTGTTTTGATCCAGAAATCTGGGAAGTTTCCTAGATTCCTCCCTTTCCCTCATCCCTCACGCTTCATATAATTAATCCCTAGACTTCCTACCCCCCTCATTATCTCACCGATACATCTTGGCCTCTCTTCATAATTTCTCGCTTGGAGTATTACAGAAGCCTCCTAACTGGTGTCCTGGCTCCAACCTGGCTTTTCTGCAGTCCATCCTCCATGCTAGAGCCAGAAAGTTCTGTCTGTAAAGCCAGGCTGATCACGCCAGCCACCCAGTGCTTAAAGGCCTCCGGTGGTTAGCACTTACCTCTGAATAAATTCTCACCTCCTAGTGCAAACGCCTTTCATCATCAGCTCCCTGCCTACTTCTCCAGTCTAACCACCCACCAGTCTCTGGACCAGAATGCCTTGCAGGGCCCAAGTCTAGATCCAGCCTTTTCACATGTGGTGGCTTCCTTTCTGCCTCCCTCTCTGTCTAATCCCTCCTGTACCAGTCAGAGTCCCCGCAGGTCACAGGACAGGTGGGTAAAGGGACTATTCATGAAAGTGAGGTTCAGGTGTAGAGAAAGCACAGAGGATGCGACCCCTAGGCCTGGGGGACGGGTGAGGAAGTCATTACAAGGACCTGAAGCCAGGGGCTGTGATGGGATAGAGTCACCCAACAGGACATGTGACCTTTGGTCAAGGGCAGGACACCAGGGCAATGAATATAACCAGTGTCACTTTCCTTCTGGAGTCCCTGGGTGGAACAAATGGTAAAGCGCTCAGCTGCTGACTGAAAGGTTGATGCTTCAAATCCATCCGGAAGTATCTCAGAAGAAAGACCTGGTAATCTACTTCTGAAAAGTCAGCCACTGACAACCCTATGAAGCACAGTTTATTCGGACACACGTAGGGTCACCATGAGTCGGAGTCGACTCAACAGTTACTGGTTTGTTTGTTTTTTTTAACTCTCTTTCCTGCCCCTGAACTTTCTTTGAGTCCTGCCTGGCACCACTGGCTGACCCAATGGGAAGCCAGAGGGCAGAGGAGCCTATGGATGGTGTTCACTGCCCAGGGCACAGAGCAAGGCAGGAAGACAGAGAGTGGACCTAGAGGCAGACGGACACCCAGAGAAGATGCCGCTCACCCTCTAACATCCAGCCAAGCCACCTCTTCTGGGAGGCCTTCTGGACTACCCCTCCCCAAGCTCATTTCAGCATCCCTCTGTGCTCCCTGCTATCAATGACAGGCTCATTTTAGGAATGCAGTAAAGGTTTGCTAAGGGACTGCGTGAATGCATCTTTTTACATTTCAGTGACTGCTGCTCTCTTCTCAAACTCTCAAACTTGGGTCATAAGCTTCATATAGTAACACTTTTTCAAGCTTAATTAGGATTTCCCTGCTTTCTGTTTCTTCTCTTTCTAAAAGCAACCATCTAGAAGCTTCCAAGGCCCTCCGTGGTTTAGGTTTCAGAGCCTGGAGGGCAATGTGACATGTGCCGCTACTGCCTCCTCCCATCCAAGACTGAAATAAGGGCGGCCATATTTACCGAGCGCCTACTATGCTCCAGGCACTGGGCTGAGAACTTACAGGCTGGCCTAACTTAATCAAACATTCCTGTGAGGTAGTTCCTATCATGCTAGTTTTGCAATCGAAGAGTTGAAGCTCAGGTTCACCGCTGTGCCCAGTGCTGTAAGTGTAATAAGTGGTGGAAACAGGGCTGGGTAAGAACTTGCGGGGATCTCATGGAGCCCCACAACCTTCACAATTCAAAATGTAAACCAATAAGACAGAGTTCATTAACAGAACTCACGCAGATGATGGAAGTCAAATAGTTTCTAAGTTGCATGATTCCAGAGTTCTGGCTGCACATCCCTAGAGCTGAACTTCCCTCCTTTTGTGTATCCCTTTGCTTTGCTGGTGTCGAAAGCACCCCTCAGTGTGCCTGTTGGCTGGAATCTGGGTGGTGGGCCCAGCAGTAGGCTCTCACCCACAGCAGGAGCCCACCCCAGCAAGAGCTCCTTCTGGTCCAGAAATGGCCTCAGAATCATCCCCAGCCTGGTTGCAGGTAGCCACGGCCAGTCCGTCTGAGTTTAGATTTGCCTTCTCTCCTACAGACACTGGCCAGGCCTCACCCAGCGCTGGCTTTCCTTGGGGTTGGCCCCGTCTTCAACCATTCCCTGTCGTCCGTCACTAGCTAGCCATTGGGGCTGCAAGGGCAAAGGCCAAATATGCAAGAAAGGTCTCAAGTACCAGGAACAAATCTCAAATAGAAACAACCTTGGCTGGAGTTTTGAGAGGTAAGTGGCCGCTCTCAGCTGAGAGATCTGCAGGTACTCCAGAAACATTTGAGGGTGGAGGAGATTTGGGAGGGAGCCAGGGGAGCCTTGTGGTCCAGGCTGGCCCAGGACTTAGGGGCAGGCAGAGGAGAGAGGAAGGGCAGGGACTTAATGACAGTGCTGTCCTAGACACGGTGGGGCCTGAAATCAGCCCCAGGGCGATTGGGCTACCACCAGGTATTTTAAGTGTCTTGGATTTGACTTGTATTTTCCTTTCTAAATATCCAGTGCCTGCTTTCTTAAACGCACTCTTAAGGCAGAACAAACCCCTGTCCTCTGTGGCTCACAAGTGGTTTGCCAGAGGTGAAGGAATTAGACCGACCGCTCCAGACCAGCCCGCTGCCCACACAGAGTGCCACCGTTCTCCTCCCCTTTCCCCAGCAAGGCCTCTCCAGCAGGAATCACAACCAGTGCCTTCTGGGCAGGCGGGGGTGGGAAGGGGCAGGGAGGGCACCGTGTCCTATCACCCTGTGCGTCAGGACGATCAGGGAAAGCGTGTGCATGTACCTCTGTGACACGGGCTGAGGGGCACGGCAGGCTGCCACAGCAATGGCACTGTGCTCTTCTCTCCTGGGTCAGCTCGTCTTTCTCCAGCTAGCAGACAAGCAGCGAGTGCAGAAGGAGCCATACTGGTTCAGCTGGTGCCAGCTTACTTCTGGGAATCTCCTTGAGGAGATGACCGGGGAGTGGTCCCCCAGGAGGAGGAAGGGAACCAAGCTCCCTGGGAGACCAGGGTGTCAGGCTGCACCTCACTGTCTTTCTAGATGGTCCCCAGGCCGTTGGGGTAGCTTTGTGAATCATAAAAGAGGAGATGGTTGATTTCAAATGAGCAGCTCTCCCTGTCCCCGCTACCTCCAAAGCGCCAGGTCTAGAACCGAGCCTTGGCGTGTTGTGGGCACTCGGTGAATGCTGAGTGAACAAACAAAAGGATGGAGACAGGAAGCCATCAACCCAGGGGTCAGATTTTCGAGGCCTAGTTCTGGCACCCCGGGGCCCTGGTGGCACAACAGTTTAAGCGCTCGTCTGTTAACCAAAAGGTCGGCAGTTTAAACCCACCAGCAGCTCCGTGGGAGAAACAACTTGGCAATCTCCTTCCATAAAGATTACAGCCCAGGAAACCCTATGTGACAGTTCTACTCCGTCACATGGGATTGCTCTGAGTTAGAATTGACTCAGAAGTGCCCAATAACAACAGTTCTGGCACCATCTTTAACTAGCTGCGTGGCTTTGGGTTACTCCCTTCCCCTTTGTGGGCCTCAGTTTCCCCCACATAAACTTGCTGTAAGCATGATCGTACCAGCCCTGCCGTCCTCCCTGGGCTGTGCGAAGGAGATGTGAGATAATATGCGGAGGTAATTAAATAAATGGTAAAGGACTCTGCAAATGAGACCATCTGTTTGTTGATTGATTTCTGAAACTCTGTATAAGTCACATCCCATTTTAAAGATACTAAGAGAATTCCTGGCTTGGAGGACTCTGTAGGGGCTCCCTTTGCAGGATCCCTTTGGAATGAGAATATTGTCTCCTAGCATCCCTCCTCTGCTTATTTCAAGGCTTCCCCTGCTCTAAGAACTCAGGCATCCTCATAGTTGTATCAATGCCAAATACTCTTTGGCCTTCCCAATTTCAGGGAGCAGCTATTTATTCACGGATTTATTGATGAGTGTGTTAACTTCCTCCCCGAGATGATCTACTCTGAAGGACTTGCCACCGGCTCTCAGCATCGGCTCATGCAGAGGGTCTGCTCTCTTTCTCTTCCCCATTCTCTTGCTAACTCATACTCATTGTTCAGGTCTCAGCTGGCACGCCACCTCCTCCAGGAAGCCTTCCCTAGTTCTCCTCAGGTTTGGAATAAGTGATCCCTCAGTCCCCTGGGCTTCCTTCAGCATTGTACCATGTAATCATTACTGGTTTTCTTGCTTGCCTGCCCTTATTCATCACTGTGACCTGTGTGCCAAGAGCAGAGCCTGGCCCACAGCTGGCACTCAATCAATATCCACTGAATGAATGAATGAATGGATTTCACTTGGGCTGTAATCCACATTTCTCTCAAAAGTAGATGATGGTATGAAATTGGAATCAAGGATCATCTACACACCCTTCCAGAGGTGGGCTTCTGCTTCTATCCTGACCCTCTTCCTACCTTGTTTATCCCCCACATGCCCCAGAGGGTGGATTCTCTTAACCCCTTTCCCCAACTGCAATCATGAGCACTCTTTATCCCACTCCTGCTTCCTGCTCCTGGCTGATTTTCAGGAGACTGCCAGGCCTTTCTTCCTAGTCTTAGTCTGGAAGCTGCACTGAAACCTGTTTAGCATCATAGCAACATGCAAGCCTCCACTGACAGGCAGGTGGTGGCTGTGCCTGAGGTACACTGGCCAGGAATTGAACCCGAGTCTTCTGCACAGAAGGCGAGAATTCTACCATTGAACCACCATGGCCTCGTACTGAGCTTCTAGTGCCTGTATATATAAACCGTGGGGTAGAGACATTTACTATAAATTGCTCAGCCTTGCTTGCCTTTAGGTTGGGGCCAAGTGACTAATTCTGGCGAAGAGAATGTAATTGGAAGTAAGTATCTTATGTCTCTTCTGTCATTACTTAGCAAGTTAGATGTTACTGTCCTCCTTTAAAGATGAGGGTGCTGAATGGCAGAGGTTAAGCAATGTGACCAAGCTCACCCAAGTGACAAAGGGTTTAGTCAGCATTCCTTTTAAATTTAGTTCAATGGATTTGAGATCCTCTTGTGTTTTCACTGGTCTAGGCAACCTACCCAGGAATAATTATGTCATTAAATTATTATAAACAATTAACACCATACATGGTTTATTGTGAGTTAGGCAGAGAATCAAAACCCCACTCCGATTTCCTTTTCTTTTCTTAATGTGAGTACACATGCTGTTTTGCATCAGTGCAGACTTGGCTTAACTATCGAAATGATTTTTATGCTGATTCAATTAAAATTTAGGGCAGAAGAGAGAGTTAAGCGTAGAAATGGTTTCATTATTTGACATACATGGTCCAAATTTAAGTCTACTTGAACACTTTGTTATGTGCTGATTTATGTCCCCCCAAAAATATGTATCGACTTGGCTAGGCCATGATTCCCAGTATTGTGTGATTGTCCACCATTTTGTCATCTGATGTGATTTTCCTAAGTGTTGTAAATGCTACCTCTATGATGCTAATGAGGCAGGATTAGAGGCAGTTATGTTAATGAGGCAAGACTCAATCTACAAGATTAGGTTGTGTTTTAAATCAATCTCTTTTGAGATATAAAAGAGAGAAGTGAGCAGAAAGACAGGGGACCTCATACCACCAAGAAACAAGAGCCAGGAGAATAGTACATCCTTCAGACCTGGGATCTCTGTGCTGAAAAGCTCCTCCACTGGGGAAGATTGATGAAAAGGACCTTTTCCCAGAGCCAAGAGAGAGAGAAAGCCTTCCCCTGGAGCTGGCACCCTGAATTTGGACTTCTAGCCTCCTAGACTGTGAGAGAATAAGTTTCTCTCTGTTAAAGCCAGCCAGCTGTGGTATGTCTGTTACACGGGCACTAGACGACTAAAGCACACTTCCAACCCTTTTGTTGGTTCACT